TTGTCACATGGTACAAGGCTGTTGTGAATAGCCCTGTACCATGTGACCTCTGTGATCATTCACAGACTTCACACGTAGTAAGCAATGATGTCACAAGTGACATCTTGCTTACTACTTTGCATGTGATCACTGATTGGCCAATCAGTGATCACATGATCGGGACCTCATACAGAGGTCCCGTCCGACGATCGGTGTTTCACTGTGTCCGGAGGACACAGCGGGCACCGGATCGCGGTGCGCGCGCTGCCAGGGAGCGCACACAAGCAGGGTGCGGGGAGGCCCTTTATAAACGGCCACCCGACCCTGCACTGCCACCGTCCAGCCGTTTATATGCAACGGCTGGTCGGGAAGTGGTTAATAAAAAGGAGAAGGTCTATCTATTTCCAAGAGTACCCAATGTGTATTATTTGCCTAAGGTTGATAAAAACCTTATTAAGCCCTCTTGATGCCCAATACGTGGCCTGCCAGAGTTCTCCCTCCCTGTTGTGTTCCAACTCCTGCACCACCAAGAAAGATTCTCAGGCCCAGCTCTCCCAAGCCGGTGCACTATGTGGACATGTACCCAGCTTCCGAGGAAATTCCACTCCAACCCCAGCCCTCTGGGTTACCCTTGGACCACTCATGCTACAGATATGGACAACCCCACCATCCCCAGGCTAGTTGCCCAACTTCCATCCGCCGCAGACTCAAACCAGCCCCAGCCCCCCTATTGCCATCCTGAGAATCCTACTGTATTGCTGTGTCTTACGTTGTGCTGGGGGCTAGCTGTTTCGATCGTCTGTACCTCCCGAGAAACTCTTCAATAATGCCCACATGTCGGGTTCCATGTGATCTGTCTGCGTGTGCTCTCTCTCTCTGTGCTCCTAGTTCATCACACAACGCATTAGACATAACTGTTCAAGTTTGACCGTCTTTTATGAACAAACTACCATCTTGAAATCTAGATTTCTAGAAAAAAGGCTTTGTTGAGAAAGACCTTGACAATGCTATACTCCAGGTTGGTAATATGGACAGGGATAAATTATTACAAGCACTGGTCCTGGGGGCTAATATAGATACCAGTAGATTTAGCTGGTCTTTGATTACAGGTTTTTCTAACCAACATTTTGCTATTAAAAACATTTTTAAAAACGGGGCGGTGTTAAAAAGTGAGAGGGTGTGTTAGGTCCATCACTTCCAGTCCAACCGATTGTAGTGTACAACGGGGAACCATCATTATGACATAGAGTGGCTTCAAACAGGGGCGGACTGACAACTCATGGGGCCCCCGGGCAATAGAGGATCATGGGGCCCCTGTGTCCTTGCCCAAACTCAAAAAAGCCTATGAAAAAGGTACCAGGGGCATCTCATGGGACCCCGTACTCACCCCGGGCCCTCGGGCAGTACCCGAGTTTCCAAATGGTCAGTCCGCCCCTGGCTTCAAATATTATTGACCCACCTAGGAATTATTTTTTTCTGTCTATGAAGGGATTTTATCCATGTCACAAGTGCTTGGTTTGTCAGACAAATTCTTTTAAAGGTAGGAATTTGTCTTCTTTTCAGTCCTAACAAACTGGACAAACCTATGAAGCGGATTCCTTTGTGACATGTTCTTCCAAATATGTTATTTATTTCATTCAATTTTATAGAGCGATTCTAAAAGATACGCCAATCACTAAACCGCGCCAATTGATGGTTTTAAATATTCAATATTATATCCAATCAGCTGCCACTTTAACCACTTGACCACCAGAGGATTTAACCCCCTTAATGACCAGGCCTCTTTTTGCTACTCGGCGCTGCACTAATTCAACTGATAATTGCGCGGTCATGCAATGCTGCACCCAAACGGAATTTACGTCCTTTTTTTCCACACAAATAGAGCTTTCTTTCGGTGTAATTTGATCACCTGTGCGCTTTTTATTTTTCACGCTATAAACAAAAAAAGCCAAAAATTTTGAAGAAAAACAATATTTTTTACTTTCAGCTATAAAAAATATATAGTAAACTCAAAGTTGGTTATATATTTAGGCCAAAATGTATTCTGCTCCATGTTTTTGGTAAAAAAATCCCAATAAGTGTATATTGATTGCTTTGTGTGGAAGTTATAGCGTCTACAATCTATGGTATAAATACTGCAATTTACGCCATTTTTCTGCTATACAGCGCTGTGTTAGTTTAATGGACAATTGCGCGGTCATGTAATACGGTACATAAATGAAATTTACAACCTTTTTTCCCCACAAATTGAACTTTCTTTTGGTGGTATTTGATTGCCTGTGCGGTTTTTATTTTTTGCGCTATAAAAAAAAAGGCCGACAATTTTGAGGAAAAAAAAACAATATTTTGGACTTTTTGCTATAAAACATGTCCAGTAAAAAAAAAAAGCAAAAATCAAATTTAGTCATAAATTTCTGCCAAAATGCATTCTGTGACATGTCTTTGCTAAAAAAAAAAACCCCAATACATGTAAATTAATTGGTTTACGTGAAAGTTATAGCGTTTACAAATGGTGGGAAAGATACTGGGATTTTTAGTTTTTTTTTTATACTACTAATGGCGGCGATCAGCGAATTATGGCGGCGATCAGGGACTTATGCCAGGGACCAGCAACTTATGGCGGGACTGCGGCGGACATTCTGACATTGGGGGGTACTGACTTGGGGTCACTGACATCCCCAAAAACACTAATACAGTGATCAGTGCAAAAAAAAAAAACACTGACACTGTACTAATGGCACTGGGGAGGAAGGGGGTAACTTTATTTTGCAGGGAAGGGTTATCTGAGTGAGGGGAGTGTTTTACTAGGGGGCGGGGGTGTGTGCTGGACGGGACACCGCTGATCGGGAGAGAGAAACTCTTCTTTCTTGATCAGCTCGTCCTCGAGCTGTCAGGGAAGTGACAGACAGCACAGCTACTGCAGCTGTGCTGTCACTGTTTGCCGTCGATCGCTGGGAAACAGCCGGTAAAGACCGGATGTGACCCGGCGACTGACATCCGCGGCGGTGATTGGCGGGACAGATAGGGCGGCGGCACGCCTCGCGCGCGCCCCCTATCTGTTTACAAAACACGCGTTTTAAAACGTGGTTTTGCCTGCCAGTGCCACCCTGCTGCCATATTTCTACAGTGTCAGGGCGGCAAGTGGTTAAATACTATGTCAAACTTATTCCAAAAAATACCACCCCTAATATTGGTGATGATTAGCAGCGCATTATATATATGTGTCACATTAAAAAAAAAATCCACAAAAAAAGTCCACAAAAAAATACTTTTTTTGTTGAATTCATTATTAGTCACATTGGACTTATGTTTTATGGTGTTTTTTTGGGCACTATTATATATAATTTGTTTGATTTTTAATTTTTAATTCATATTTTTTGGTCACATATAATTTTTATGTCACATATTATTTATGTCACTTAATATTTGTGTAAATGTGTTTTCACATAGAGATCATCAAAAGGAATTTAATGTGTCCCATATATATAATGTGTTGCTAATTATCACCAATATTAGGGGTGGTATTTTTTGGAATTTCATTCAATGTCCATGTAAAATACAATATGTGAGCCGCACTATGTGTATGTTACATATGTCTCGAAGAGCATATAGGGAATATTAAACGTGGTTTTAGGGGTCATAATCTCTCTAAACACTATGCTAGGTACCATCAGAAAAATCCAGAAGGCACTCTTTTTATGGCAATCGAGAAATATAACGCACACTGGAAGGGTTGACCATATCAGGAGAATCATCTCGAGATCTAAGACCCACAATTTGAAAATGTATGTTCCTTTTGGCCATAACGTGGACTGGGATGTTAATTGTTTCATAAATAATAGTTAATAAGCCCCTTTTAGCCTATTTTGCTAGATAGTTACATTTGTTAATGGCGTTCATGTGTCCGCTCAGGTGTGACATATTAATATATATTTTTTTTCAACTCATATTTTTTATTAAACTCATCACCTATATTTTTTTAGCTTTTTTCAATAGCTTTTGCATTTATTTGTTTTTAGATCATGATGTATCATGTAGGCATGTTTTTGTTTAAAGGGTGTCGTGTTCATGTGTTTATTTTTCTTTTCTTTTATATTGTTTATTAAATTCCGTTTATTGGATTGTGTGTAATACCTTTTTAGTTTTTGTGGTGGCACTGCTGGATCCCACTGTGTCTTTCACTTATTCCTTTATTATTGGCAGACCGCCATCAGTTAAGATGTCTGCGGTTTGCTATATAACAGCCTATTTGCATGATGGCCCATCTTCAACTCCCCAGACGACGTCACCTCTGACGAAACGTGTTAGGGGGGTTTCCGACTGTGACATCATCACGCACGTGGATCGCTATTTGACAGGGATTGATGTCCTACCTGCAGCCAGCCACAGGAACGCCACCTTGGAGAGTTTGTTTTCTGCATTGCTGGATATGCCTGTTGATACTTTTTCATATTGTGAGTTTCTCGTCTATTTTTTAATACATTTGTTTAAAAAGCGGTTTTACACTTTGGAAGTGCTTTTTTTTTTGTATTCCACCTCTGAGATCTGTGGTGGCAATTTTTATTTCTTTGTATCAATTGGAGGAGACACCATACTGGATGCGATATTGTCTTTCGAGCAAGCGCTGTTTGACCGATCCGTTTTATGAGGTCAGTGCACTCTGGTAAGCATCCACATTGTGCTCTCTTTCGGATTGTAGGTTCTCCTTCAGCACTACCCGGAGCTTCCAGTCATTTTACGTTCTTTTTGCACTTTTTGTGGTGTTGTCCAATCAAGAGGAGTACATCATTACATGAGCACTATATTGAACTTTTGTTATTGCTTTTGCACGGTTTATGTGATTCACTTATATTATTTGCATTATTTTTATTAATGTGCAAATATTTTTAAAATTTTTAGCGCTGCACTTTTCTTTCACATGTGTTTTTGAGTTTATGTATCCGGACTCATAATGCTGGCAGCTTTGTTATGTTTTTACCCTACCGCAGTGTTGTTCATTTTGTAAAGATGTCTGCATGCAGTGTCTCCAGAGCAGGGGTGTCAAACTGGCAGCCCTCCAGCTGTTGCCAAACTACAAGTCCCATGAGGCATTGCAAGACTGACAGTTACCAGCATGACTCCCAAAGGCAGAGGCATGATGGGACTTGTAGTTTTTGCTACAGCTGGAGGGCCGCCAGTTTGACACCCCTGCTCTAGAGTGATGACAAAAAGAGGTTGGGCATCTGCCCGCTCATCAGTCCTGTGGCCCTCCAGCTGTTGCCAAACTACAAGTCCCATGAGGCATTGCAAGACTGACAGTTACCAGCACGACTCCCAAAGGTAGAGGCATAATGGGACTTGTAGTTTTGCTACAGCTGGAGGGCCGCCAGTTTGACACCCCTGGTCTAGAGTGATGACAGAAAGAGGTTGGGCATCTGCCTGCTCATCAGTCCTGTGGATAGCACAGCCTCCTAGGAACAAGAGTTCTTGAACAGGCTCTTGACTATTTGCAGAGATGTGTAGAGTTGCCACCTGACAGCCTGTTAGTGCAGCGAGTACTGATATCTGTTTGTGGGCCCCAAAGACTGATGTGATCCTAGAGTGGCGATCGGCTTCATGGCTGAACCACTGCCCAGAGTCCTGCAATCTTTCTCTTGAGGAGAACGGCAGTCTCCCTGCTTCCAACTCTGAAACCCACGCCGACAGTGTGAGCCCAACCCATGAAGAAAAATATATCTCCTCTCCCAGAATGCTTCTGGTTCACCAGCTCTCTGGTAGGTGTAGTTCAGTAATTTGGACTACAGATCCCAAGATCCTTTGCTGTGAGAGAATTGGATCCACTCTGCTAACAGAAGATGATGTAGCTGGCACTAGGAGGAAAAAAAGACAATTATAATTCCATTTGTAAGTTGTCCCTGAATTGCATAGTGACATAGCCAGTACTTGCCTACACTAGTAAAGCGATTCCTTCCAGCACTGTGATGTTCACATTTCCCTCAATGGCCAACAATGCCATCTTTACCCGTTCTTCCAGTTTTAGATTTGGCCAAATTGATGGGCTGGACCAGAATGACACAAATCCTGCATCCATTGCAAATTACCAAGTAAGGCGATTCCCTCCACTCCTTTGATGTCAGCACTGAAGAGAACCCAGTGCCGGCACTTCCACCTTCGCCCGTTCTTCCTTCCATGTTAAGAGTCTTTGATTGATTTGATTGACTGGGCTGCATTGCCGAAACTCTTGTGTGTGCACATTATGGCACTTACCTAGTAAAGTGATTTCCCTCAGTGCTACAATGTCCAAGTTGCCCACCATGGCCGGCACTTCTATTTTCACCTGGTTTCTTCCAGGCTGTGAGTCATCGGCCAACTTGATTGGCTGTGCTAGAATGACGTAACCCTGGCACAAATTTGCATTTATGGCAGACTTACCCAGTAAAGAGATTCCCTCCAGTGCTGTGATGTCAGTGCTCCCCTCCATGGCTGACACTTCCATCTTCACCAGTTCTACCTGCAGGTTTGGAGTCCTTGGCCAGCTTGATTGGCTGGGCTGGCATGACATAACTCCCACACATACATATCTGCACATTATGACACACTTACCTAGTAAAGCGATTTCCTTCAGTACTGCAATGTCCATGCTCTCCTCCATGGTCGGCGCTTCCATCTTCACCTGGTTTTCTTAAAGGTTCGAAGTCATGGGCCAACTTGATTGGCCAGAATGATGTAAGTCCTGTGCATGCACTTTTTTCACATTATGACAAACTCACCCAGTAAAGCAATCCCCTCCAGTGCTGCAATGTCAACGCTCCAGTCACAGGACTTGTAGTCTTATGTCCCAGATTAGATAGATAGGCCTGGCGAAGGGGTTTCCCTGTCAGTTCCCTGACTATTCCGGGTGTCCTTGTGGACAGGTCTTTTTTATCCTAACTGTTTTCTGGTGTTGCTACATCAGTAGGGAGTTGTCCTCCCACTCCTGTCTATTATTGAGGCTGGGAACCTTACCACTGTTCCCCTTGTTGACCATTTATGTTGTATTGTTCTACCTGTTCCCTTTGGTGGTTGCTTTGGCTCACAGCTTCTGCTGTTGTGGACTCAGGTAAGCTTTCCATGAGGCAGCAATTATTGTCCTGGTCCAAGTTGACCCTGTGTGAACCTCCTCTGAGTCTTTATCAGTTCCCCTCTCCTGTAGGGAACTTCAAGTCCTCTTGTTCAGATTTGGGTTTTGGTTTGTTTTGTTGCAGACAGCTTGTGGTTTCATCCGTGGCTGTTGTCCCACCCCACAGTTGGACTGCTTTTGGGATTTTCTTTCACTTCCACTTTCTTTGATAAGGGTGCACAGGACAAGTAGAGAAGGTGAATCTCCCAAACGGGCACACAGACAGGTATTCTAATGTCTCTAGACCAGGGGCGGACTGATAACTCATGGGGCCCCCGGGCAATAGGGGATCATGGGGCCCCTGTGTCCTTGCCCAAACTCCAAAAAGCCTATGAAAAAGGTACCAGGGGCATCTCATGGGGCCCCCTACTGAACCCGGGCCCTCGGGCAGTGCCCGAGTTTCCAAATGTTTCAGTCCGTCCCTGGCTCTAGACTATATCCAAAACTAAAAAAAAAGTAATACTTTACACTTACACCATTTACAGGAATTTTTGGGGGTTTATTACCTCTAACTTTGTGAAAAGTACCTAATAATGCGCAAAGGTGTATGAAATAACAGAAAATCTAATTTTTGCATACGTCCATACTCTGTTACCCTTGTTTATGATGGCAATTGCTGTATAGCAGCACAGTGTGTGCACAGTCAATGACAGGCTGTACGCTGCACCTGGGCTGCCAGAGTGGAGGAAATATGGAATTACAGTGAACGGACTCAGCCAAGCCGTTTCCAATGAGCCTTTAAAATCATTTTTCTTTAGCTTTTATCTTAGAAAAACTTACTTTCCAGCGTAATTCTGTTTGTTTTCTCTGTGGATTCAGCTGTTTTATCTTCAGGATTATCAAACATTGATAATCTTTGTTGCAGATAGAGTGTAACTTTCTCCATATATGAATGGTACACTAAATTTCTCACGAAAGAAAAGAGGAAGTAACATTACCAGAAGTCTCTAGATGTTACTTGCCATTGTTGAGAAAAAAAACTTTTCTCTGTGGTATTTATTTAGACATCATTTTTTGTTAATCTTTGTTGAAAAAAAAGATTGAACAAAATATAATATATTTTTTTAAATTGTAAGGTTAGCTCAAGTACAATGAAGGACAGCTCAGGAATGGTGTGGGAGGCTGGGTTGGCATGTCATAACTCCCACACATGTATATGTGCACAAAATGGAACACTTACCTAGCAAAGCGACCCCCTCCAGTGCTGCAGTGTCCGCACTTCCATACATGGTTGTCACTGCCATCTTCACCTGTTCTTCTTCCATATTCAAAGTCTTTGGCCTCTTGATTGGCTGGGCCAGAATGCCATAACTCACTCACATTCATATTTGTACAATATGGAACACTTACCTAGCAAAAACAACCCCCTCCAGTGCTGCAGTGTCCGCACTCCCCTACATGGTTGTCACTGCCATCTTTTACCTGTTCTTCTTCGAGGTTTGGAGTCATGGACCCACTTGATTGGCTGGGTCAGAATGCCATAACTCCCTCACATGCATATTTGTACAATATGGAACACTTACCTAGCAAAGCGACCCCCTCTAGTGCTGTAGTGTCTGCACTCCCCTACATGGTTGTCACTGCCATCTTCACCTGTTCTTCTTCCAGGTTTGGAGTCATGGGCCAAGTTGATTGGCTGGGTCAGAATGACGTTACAATGTATATATTACATTATAGGCCATTCTTCTGGTAATCCTTTTCCTCCATGACCCATACTTTCATCTTAATCCCATCTTCCTCCAGGTTCAAAGCCTTTGGCCTCTTGATTAGCTGGGCCAGAATGACGCAACGCACTTGTATTTGCACATTATGGCACAGTTACTTAGTACACCGATCCCATCCAGTGCTGCAACATCAACTCTCCCTTTCATGACCAGCATTTCCATCTTCCCCTGTTCTTCTTCCAGGTTCAGAGGCTTCAGCCACTTGATTGGCTGAGCCAGGATGACTTAAAGTCACCTAGGACCCTGTATTCACTATATCCGGTCTCCCACAGTACACAGAACATGGAAATACACTTATTTTAGTAAATATAAACTGCTAAATACCTTTTCTCATCAGCATTATATAGCAGTCTTGTGACTTCTATCAGTGTCCAGCAGAGCACTGGTTGAAGCATTTAGGAGTTTTCACTCTTCCCTGATCATCTTATGAGACTGCATAACCCCTGACCCTCTGTCTGGACAATGTTGATTGGTCCTGTGCTGATCACATGCACCCTTCCAACAAAAATAAAAAAAAACTCTCTAGCTATACATACCAAACTGAGCATGTGCAGAGTGCCCCCAAGGCTCTGTTTCTATCAGCAGATGGATTGGGGACTATAGAAGGGGAGGATCAGAGAAGACAGGATCAAACATACTTGTTTTCACAATGCAGAGGACTAACCCCTTAGTTTTCTATAGTAAGTATAACCAGCATGCTTTACTGTATATACAGACTGATTTTTATTGTTGTGGGTTTAGTAACACTTTAAGTCCCGAACTTGCATGGAAGTTACTTTGTCCCAGGCCAGAATCATGATGAGGCTGTACACTGAGCTGCACATGCATTGCCCCAAAAAAGAAACAGCTGTCAGGCAGGGAGAAGCTGTTATGACAGAAGAGACCTACAGAGCATCTTTTGTCATAAAAAGCCTGCTTTTTAAAACCAGGATTATCTTTCATTTTAAGAAAACTGTATAACAGGGGTGGACTGACAACTCATGGGGCCGACAGGCAATAGGGGATCATGGGGCCCCTGTGTCCTTGCCCAAACTCAAAAAAGCCTATGAAAAAGGTACCAGGGGCATCTCATGGGGCCCCCTAATGACCCCGGGCCCTCGGGCAGTGCCCGAGTTTCCAAATGGTCAGTCCACCCCTGATGAGCAGGTCACCTTTACAGTGCGGCCACTGTTCCTGGCTATGGGACATACTGTATATAGCAATTCACAATCAGAGAGCAAGCTTACCCAGAGGCAGCCCTTTCCTCCTTAATACCTTGTTCACACACACATGGTAACAGGCAGTTCAGCCACATTTTTACGGATCACCAACCTCCCACCTCCTAAGGAACATGGTGGCCATTTAAGTAAATACATATTGCTGTGATCTCAAACTAAGTGTTTGCAGCATGGTAGTTCAATGTAAACTCAATGTAAAGCTGTAAAAGAAAAAAGAAGAAAAAAAAAAAAAAAACAGGCATTCAGACGTGTGTAAACCACCACCATGGATCAAATTACTAAATGTAGCAACAATGATCTCATAATCAATATGCATTTCCTACTTGTTTGCATTGAAGCCT